ATAATAGTAATAATAACAATAATAATAACAATAATAATAACAATAATAAAAATAATATGGGGGCTCCAGTGTCTAAGTGAGTAGTGAGTTTTAGACTCAAGTAATGTCAAGCAAGTGTCGGTGACATGGGGATCAGATGGGTGGTCACTGGGGTGTGTCCATGAGCAAGACACGATAACCCTAGCTCAAATTACAGGGCGCTGCACAGTGGCAACCGACAGTGGCATGGTTGTAAATCGTTATGTATTTGTGTCATATTTTGTATTTATGAATGTATTTATGAATGTATTTATGCATGTATTTATGCATGTATTTATGTATGTACGTATTTATAATTATGTATTTATGTATGTACGTATTTATAATTATGTATTTATGTATATGGAAATGAATGTTTGCCATTAGAAACCTAAGTGCCCTTCCGGGACAAATAAAAGTGTAATTTATAATTATTATTATTATATACGAGAATGTGTGCGTTTGTACGTACATACGTTCGTGCTTGTGTACGTGCATGCCTACGTACGAACATACGTGTACTCATACATACATGCATGTGTACGTACTTTCGTTCGTAAGCATGCATGTAGGCATGCACGCACGCATACACGACGCTCGCTCGTGTATACACGACGCTTGCTCGTGCATAGGTACATACGTACTACATACGTATACACGTCCGTACATACCTACGGGCAGGTACGTACGTGCCTATGTACCTACGCGCGTGTACGGGAGCGTACGGATACGTACATACCAACATGCGTGTACGGAAGCGTACGGGTATTTACCCGTACACGCATCTACGTACGTGCCCGTACGCACATCTATGTACATACCCGTACGTTGAGCGCGTGAGTATATACGTACGTACGAGCACGTATGGGTACGTATGTACGTACGTACGAGCACGTATGGGTACGTACGTATCTGCACATGTGCGTGTACCAATACGTGCATGCGTGTACAAGTACGTACGTGCGTATACTAGTACCAGTACGTACGTGCGTGGAGTATGAACAAGCGCGTACTAGTACGAGTGCTTACGAGCGTGTACGAGCGCGTACTAGTATGCGCACGTACGTACTTGTACACGCATGCGCTCATACTAGTACGTGCTCGTACGCGCTCGTATGCACTCGTACGTGCCCGTACGCGCTCGTATGCACTCGTACGTGCCCGTACGCGCTCGTATGCACTCGTACGTGCCCGTACGCGCTCGTATGCACTCGTACGTGCTCGTACGCGCTCGTATGCACTCGTACGTGCTCGTACGCGCTCGTATGCACTCGTACGTGCTCGTACACGCTCGTATGCACTCGTACGTGCACGTACGCGCTCGTACGCACTTGTACGTTCTCGTACTAGTACGCGCTCGAACCTGCTCGTACTAGTATGCGCTCGTCGAGAGCGTACAGGCGCGTGCTCGTACGCACTCGTAGGTGCTCGTACTAGTACGCGCTCGTACTTGTACAGAGCACGTAAGAGAGCGTACTAGTACCGAGAGCGTACGAGCGCATACTAGTACGAGAGCGTATGAGCGCGTACGAGCACGTACGAGCGCTCGTGTACTAGAACGAGCGCGTATGAGCGCGTACGAGCACGTACGAGCGCTCGTGTACTAGAACGAGCGCGTATGAGCGCGTACGAGCACGTACGAGCGCTCGTGTACTAGAACGAGCGCGTACGAGCGCTCGTGTACTAGAACGAGCGCGTACGAGCGCTCGTGTACTAGAACGAGCGCTCGTGTACTAGAACGAGCGCGTACGAGCGCTCGTGTACT